GAGATAAGGGCTGGGACAGAATGATGTGGAGGCTTGGACACTCGGCTGCTCTGGTTTGGCCTGAGCTTCAGAGACGAATGAGAGGATGTTGATATTCCACACAGGAAGACTGACAAACAAAAGGTCTGCTGGACGCACAGGGGACACAGACCTTTTGGAGAGAACAAACCATACCAAATCCTTTCACACAGCTGTCATTTTATGAAGTGGCTCATTAGCTCACACAAATAAAATAATGTACTAGTAATAGTCTACCCTGAAGAAACCCAGATTTTTATACAAACTCATTTTATGAGATGATCAATAATCCATCGCCTTTAAACATGTGTGTTGAAGAGAGAATCTCTACCCTAAACACACACACACAGATTCTGGTGTCTGAACCAGGAGCACATGGCTGCTGTTCTGTCTTTTGCCTTCAGAAACTCTTTGTTTCCATGACAACCACCAGTATGCATGACTGAGTGTGTGTGTGTGTGTGTGTGTGTGTGTGTGTGTGTGTGTGTGTGTGTGTGTGTGTGTGTGTGTGTGTGTGTGTGTGTGTATTTGGGTAGAGACGGAGGGATTCTCTCTTCAACACACAGGGCCGATAAGTCACACTGAGTTGAGTGGAATGGAGGAAAGGAGTGTGTGAGGATGATGATGGAGGCGGAGATGAAGAGGGAGTGCAGACGAAGCAGCTGAACAGATGGTCTGTCTGCTGTCTGAACCTCAGGACACTTTAATGACATGCAGGAAGACACATGCAGGGACAGCACTGAGAACCTCAATATCCAGATTTATTACACGGCTTAGTCGAATAATCGATTTTGATTGGTCAATTTGGACATTCAGAGGTTGTGAATACCCGATAACACACCGCTGCTAAGCATAACATCACTGTTGCTAAGGAGGACTAAGGGAGAGAAAGAAAACAGGTTACAAGTTGGACGTCAGATAAATCATCAGAAGACAAATAGACAGGAAGTAAACACTAACAGGAACACGGTATGGGCTCGGCAGTGTTTAAGGGCTTGTTAGTGGAACTGTGATCAGACTTGGACAGTTGCATCGATTAGTTCATTTCAAGTTACGTTGTTGTTGTGGCAGTACCAGCCGTTGGTACGCCGTGGAACAGTTTTTTTTTCTGAACGGAAGCAATACAATCATTTTTAAGCCAATAAAATCATTTTCAATTCAATCCTATTTTTTTTTATGAACGGTAGCTGCAGATTATCCCTTACTTAATCTACATTAAAGTCCAAGGTTTTGTCTTGACCAGGTAACAGAGGCGCTGCCTTCATACCAAAATGCAGATTTTCCCCGTAACATTTTAAAGTGCTGCCAGAAAACAATATTTCTGTTCTTCAAAAACTGTATAATATCTCGAAAAATATGAAACTCGTGTCAAATGGACCGCCGGACGGCAGAGACAGCTTTGTTTTTACGGAGCTCCAAATAAATAGGGGATGGATGTGCGGTCGGTCTGCTGGACGAGTGGCAGGCAGCAGGCTTACACTGAAACTGATTTCTGAATCAGATCATTTCTTTTACTGTCCTCTTTTCTGTAGAGGAAGTAAAGAAACCGTAACTCTGGATTTATTTGTTGTTTGAGGTGCAATATGAGTCAGCAGCTTTAAGACATGAAGAAACTATTGCTTTGCTCTGATGTATTAATTTTGGGCATAAGTGACGTTAGCGCCCTCAAACTAGAAACTAGAAAAAACCCTGAAGTCTATTCCACCTGCCTGCATACAGTTAACTGGTGTTGTAGTACTCGAGACCACTTTTTAACGGTCTTGGTCTTGTCTCAGAATCGACTGCATTTGGTCTTGGTCTTGTCTCGGTCTAGGACCTATAGGTCTCGAGATTTTATGTCAAGACCACGGCTGTTGCTGGGGATGTGATTGGATGTTAAACGCCCTGTTAAAAAAATTCAACCAATAACGTGACTACGAATCTCTGCCCTCATGCACCACAACATGACACTGGTCTATACTGGCTGCTACACTCAAACAATCTTGCAGTGAAGATGTGTGTGTGTGTGTGTGTGTGTGTGTGTGTGTGTGTGTGTGTGTGTGGCTTACAGGGCCTTTACTGACCACAAACTCCTGAGTGTGTGTGTGAGAGAGAATGTGTGTGTGTGTGTGTGTGTGTGTGTGTGTGGTGTGTGTGTGGTGTGTGTGTGTGTGTGTGTGTGTGTGTGTGTGTGTGTGTGTGTGTGTGTGTTAAAGGGTTTTCCTTCATCCTGCGTTTGTCTAAAAAGGTGGTTCCTGGTTGGTTAGTTTTTTGTTTGTTGCTTAGACCTATATACCATAACATTTGTTTTATATTATGTTCTTATTATGTTACTGTTTTTATATGAAAATAATAACTTTTTGAATAAATATGATGAAGTTGAATTTATATCTTGTATCTTATCTTTTTATGATGATGTTGATCTTTCAGATGAAATTGACTATGGTATCTTACACATGGTATTGTAGGTGTATCGTGTAGTGATGGATTCACAGTAGTCTGGTTCTTGGTCTTGGTCTTGGTCTTGACTTGGTCTCGACCTCTTAAAGTCTTGGTCTCGTCTTGGTCTTGCTACTCTCTGGTCTTGGTAATGTCTTGGTCTCGGATAAGGTGGTCTCGACTACAAGACTACAGTTAACATATGGGTGTTTTGTACCTCCGGATGCTCAGATTATTTTCCTTTCCTTCATGTGGTTTTGATATGATTCAGTGTCTCTTCAGTGTGGGGAGCAGGGGATTTGGATGGTCAAACCTTCAGTGTCTCTTTCTCTGCATGTGTCCATAAAGTCCACGGCAGAGAGTGAAAGTGCTGGAGCGAGGGAAGCAGCTTTAAATGAAAACTAGCAGCAGTTTTGTTGATAACAACTAGAGATCAACAGTCTTCAGCTGTGCTAACTCAGCGGGCTTAAGACCACCCACAATATTTTGCCAAAGAAATAAAAAACAAATGTTTTTCTCCTGCTGCTGGAACGCAGCACACAAACATAAAATCTGTTAATGTGGGAGTCCTTGGGATGAAGTGGTCTGAAGTGGGAGGTGGGGGTACATTTTTGTAATTATTTAGGGGTTCTTGGGGCTTTAGTGTAGTAGTCTCTTTCAGCCCAAACATTACAAGGCCTGACACCTGGATTCCACTGGGTCCGTCTGCGCCGCGCCATGCACAGAGACGCAAGGCGTTGAATAGCGCCGGGCAGGAAGTGGAACGGCCAGAGCATCCGGTCAATCCCCAAAATAAACTAATTTTGCCAACACAGTCTCACTCCCTGATAGTCCAATAGCGACGCTTGGTCAGGGTCCTTTGGCGTGCAGTTGTGACGCGCCGAGTCTCCTTCAGCTTCATAAACAGACGCAAAGAGCTTTTAACTGATTGCAATGTTTTCCCATCGGCAGCGGTATTTGACGCTCATGGAAGCACCGCATCCGTTCATGTCGGCGGCAGTTAAAGGCAATGTGAGCGTCCATTCCCATTGGATAACGGAGAATGTTACACCCGGAAATAAGTATTCTCCTTACTGTCGATTGATTTTACAGTGATATCTGCACTACTCATCAACTCAAAAACACCAGATTATCCTTGTTAATTGCACAACATTTTGTGTTTTTCCCCTTCGACTCTGAGAAACAAATAGTTGTATCGGAGTTTAGGATGGCCGAAGACACTACACTACCCATAATCCTCAGCTATCGTTTGAGACTACACCATGCGCTTTGCTCGACAAACCCTGTGATTAGTCCTCAAGCTCTGTGATTGGATGTTGGAGTGGCAGTGCGCAAAGTTTACGCCGAGCGTCAAACAGCACTTTTGAAATGGAATGAAACCCATCGACGGCACACTATCCAAAACTTGGTATTTTGGCTTGACAAATAAATTCATTAATTGATTAATCAAATCACTGAATAATTACATTAAATTATGATTTGATCTTCGACATACGGTTTCAGCTCTAATGTGAGAAGGACACTGACATAACCCTGTTGGATCACTCCTGACTTACTATGGTAAATCATTGAATCACTGCTCGACACTGTTAAGGGAATTTCCAATCCCCTTTGTTTAGGGCCAGGAATAGTTTGGAAATGTTCAATACTAGCGCCTGGTGATGCCGGACGTTTAATCAAATACAAAAATCACTGAATGGAGTTTGATAGAATTGAATTCATCCTCTGTTTCCCCTGACCAATTGATTGGCTTTAAACTTTGCAAGTCTGTAGTCCAAGCAACATGCTCAAAATACTGAAATACGTAATGAGAACACAAGCTTTATAGTATTTATATGATATACGTTTAACTGGTATACCCAATCTATATTCCATTTTAATCGTTTTTTTATCATTGTTTTATTTGATGGTGCTTTTCTGACAATTGATCTTCTTTAACTGTGTTTATGCCGACACCATTTACACCAAGGAAATCCCTCGTTTGCTAATAAACATGAATCTGATTCTGACATTAATGTGGAAAAAAAAAAACTTTCTCGAACACTTCATATATTTCTCTGCAGAATAAGGCAGCTGAGAATATATATATATATATATATATATATATATATATATATATATATATATATAATATATATATATACATACATATATACACACACATGTACAGACACACGTGATTTCTGGAGAAGTCCTTCTGCCCAGTCGGAGCTGGGACTGAGTTTCACTATACAGGCTACTCTCTGGAACAGTTTTACATCTACTAAAACAAGTCAGACGTTTGAAAAAGTCCATGAGCATAGGAACAAGCTGTGTGAACTTCACGGAGACTTCAACAGTCCAAACTCGTGTCTCTGTAGTTTGTATGTGAGGACCAGGAGACATCACGGACAAAGCAGCAAAGTAATTAAACCTTCAATGCACTCTGTATGTCTATTATTTGGTGACTGATACTCCAAAAGCCGATGAAAATTATTGGCGTCATTTGACACCAGTGTGTCTCAAAGCAGTGGACTCAGTCAAACTATCAGCCGCTATAACAACAAAAGCAGGGCAGAACGTACCGTGAAGGGAGCCCCGGTGAACACCGCTGTTATCCCCGCCTGGTACAGTATATTTATCCCGGTATAGCAGCTGAGGCTTTCCTTTTTCTGACCAAACCCCGGTGTGGTAGATGTTCTCTTTCTGCCGTTTTTTCTCTCTGGTCTGGATGGAAAACGTCGTCCTCACTTGGGAGAGAAAACGGGCGGGTCTCGAGCCTTTGAACAACGCGTCCGACCAATCGGCGGCCGATCTAAAAACAATATTCTGCTGTGAGACAATCGGATTCTGTCTCCAACACACAGACGTGTGCTCATTGGCTGGCTAAGTGGAGACCTCCCAGTTGAAATGACTACAGCACCGGGAGAAGAGCTGTGGAATGTGATGCCTCCGGCTCCTATCACTTCACCTCCAGCTGTGGAACAAAGCGCCACGGATCTTCACTCGAGGTTCCGGGGACCTGCCCTTTGGTCAAGCGTGTGCAAAAAAAATGTTTTGGTAATTAATCATTATTACACATTTGTAAGGATATATTCTACAAATGTGTAATAATGGAAGCTATGATCGTTTATGAACGCCTGTATCACACAACTATCAATAATACAAATCAAATTCTGAATTTTAAACATGTTTGTTTTTGTAAAATAAAAAATGAAGTGTTATTATTCTATATCAATAATCACACATTTAGAACATAATATGTCTTCATGTCAACTTCCTAAAGTCAACAGGAAGATCAGTTAAAATGTGTTGTTTTGTCAGACCAGCAGTGCAAAAACACTGGGGTCTTCCAATATTGGAAAACAGAGAACATCAGCTTTCTCACATTGGACAAGCTTGAACTTTACAATTGTTCCATAACAAAGCAACACACACATGCACAGGGCCGGCCCTAGACTTTTGGGGGCCCTAAGCGAGCTTTGGCTTGTGGGCCCCCCTCACTCTAGCGCGTTCTCACTACACACAACACGGAACCAACTTTTGTCTTATGATGTTAGCATAAGCACACACAGGGGTGTCGCCTGGACCTGAAAACATTCGGGGCTTAGCCCGCAGTGGCGGCGGCGCTACAGTGGAATATTCTACTGCAACACTCCCCACACGCACACACACAGTACACTCGCGACTGTTACAATGAAGGCTCGATAATCAGCTCACGGCATATAGGCAGGGGTAAAGTGCTATTTTTTATGAGTGGGGGGGGGACCTAACCTCCTCTAGGGGGGTCCGGGGGGATGCTCCCCGGGAATATATTTTTTAAATATTGAAGTTAAAAGCATCAATCTGGTGCACTTTGAGAGCAACATTAAGAGATCTATGGATACATCTCTCAACACCCATATGAAACAGAACTGTAAACAGATTTACTTTTTCTTTAAGGATATTTTACAAATCACTCCCCTTTTAAACTCTATTCTTGTTTTACTGCCATATAGTATTTCATAACTGTTTTCCTTTATTCTCTTTATTTTTTTTATAACTATAATGATCATATAAACGTGTGCCGTGGAAATAATCTTTTGAATAATTTGTGACCAAACCGTTTGAGACCCACTGAGATAACTTAGACTAAAGTAAACTATCTAAACACTCAGAGAGTCCTTTAGCTCACCTGAGTCTCTCAGTCTGAGAGGAGAGGACTCTCCTCCAGCTTGTTGTGGAACAAACAGCTCCTTATGTCCGTTTATCAGCTAGCTAACCAGATGCTAACAACACGGTCCCTGCTGGCACCGGTCTCTCTCTCTCTCTCTCTCTCTCTCTCTCTCTCTCTCTCTCTCTCTCTCTCTCTCTCACACTAAATGCGCGGACGGGGTCCGGGGGCTTGCTCCCCCGGGAAGAATTGTTTTTAAATATTGAAGTTAAAAGCATCAATCTGGTGCACTTTCAGAGCAAAATTAAGAGATCTATGGCTACATCTCTCAACACCCATATGAAACAGAACTGTAAACAGATTTACTTTTTCTTTATGGATATTTTACAAATCACTCCCCTTTTAAACTGTATTCTTGTTTTACTGTCATATAGTATTTCATAACTGTTTTTCATTTATTCTCTCTGGCTGTCCATCTCATAATGTTCACATAGAAACTAGCTGTCAATAGGAATATCATTCAGAAGAATTATAATTTTCATGCAAAATCTGTCACAAAAAAGAGGTTGCACATTTAAATTCAGGTGTTGTTATGGCAACGTCAGTGGCCAAACAGCCACATTTACTGCTGCAAATACATTCAAACATGCTGTCGACACGTAAAGCAGTGGCAACTATGGCCACCATTTCAGCTGACCTTTTTCTCAGAAATACTGTCACATAACATCCATATATTTCAGTGCTAGGTTGATGCTTAGCTAAGCTAACTATGAAACACTTTAACTGACAGGACTCAGGATCAACTGTGTACTGTAAGGTAGCTTCTAGCTTCATATCAAACAGTAAGTCAACATTTTCCAGAGAGCTTTCTTTGAAATCACCAGAGGCCTGTACTACGAAGCTGGTTCAACCTAACCTGGATATGTTTGAGTTAGCCGGTTGGCCCAATCCAAACATACGCGCTCTGGCTAAACTGTAATACGACGCTGGTTATCAAGTGGATCGCTCAAGCCAGCCGTGTCCTATCTAGTTAGGTGCGCGTTCACATGAAAGGGGTGGTATTTGGAGCATTCGACCAATCTCAAACACGGACAAGCGTACTGACAGCGCAGCGTCATACTTCCTGAATGAAAAGTGAACTTTAATATTAGTCAAATATGAAGAAGTTAAAACTTTAAACATCCATGACTTAAACACTTTATCCAGGATAAAAGCCACATAGCTGCACCTGCAAGGTGAATACAGCTGGTAAAAGAAAAAGTGTTTGAATGCGTACATTAACAGGTTTATGAAATCACTGCCCCGTCCAAGACACGAGTGGATCTGACTTTAGGAGAATTTGACTCGAGTGTTTCGTCAACTTAATGTGTTGCTTAAATAATACTTCTGCATACAGTATGTGACACTGTGAGTGTTGCACGGCCAGATACGGCTCAAGAAGCTGACTCAAATAAGGAAATATATGATACATTATGATGTGATATGATATGAATGATAATGGGACACATCGACGTCTGCACTCACAGTGCCGCGGACTGTACTTAATGTTACTCTGATCCGGTTACTTATGTCGTGGCCAGATATTTAAGTAAGCTTTCTTAACGCTAATATTATAATAGTCAGATTGCTCTGAAGATGGGAGGGGATATTCTATTAATTTTCACGTTCACACAGTCAGTTGATTTTGGCCGGCCGTCTTTCCTGCAATGGCAGTTTTTCTGTATTTCCTCTATCCTGTAATATGAATTGATCGCTTTAAACTCCGCACACGGAGCTCTGATTGGTCAGCAGGCGGTGCTTTCACTGAGTTGATCTCTTAGCCTGCCACCTAACCTGCTCCGGAGCAGGTTTGCCGCTCAGCATAAGTTACCATGGAAATCTAGCCTGCTAAAAAGAGAACCAGCGTCGTAGGACCGGAAAGCCCGAGATTTCCCTGAAGTTAGCCGGCTAAGCGAAAATCCAGCTTCGTAGTACAGGCCTCTGGTAACGCTAAAAAACACAACATTTAGATTGTATGACAAAGTGTTATTTAATATATCTTGGCTAGCTATAGCTACTTGCTAACGGTTTAGCTTATCCGCGCGATTCAAAGTAACGTCAACAACGTAGCTGTAATTTATGCTTTGCTTACATGTTCGCATAACTTGGAAGTTTACTGACATTTACATACCTTGTTTACCTGGCTCAAGTCGTGGCTCTGGGGGGTGAGCCACCACTTGAGAGTTGTCGTCTTTTTTAAGAAATGTTTTTTCTTATGTCCATCTTCAAAAAACTCTGAGTCCGACTGACAGTTTATTTTAAACATTGTCACAGCTCACAGGATAAGTAGCTGTCAGCCAATAAGACAGATGTTTATTTCCATTCAACTCTCTGGTTGGTCTGGTGTCTTGCCTCTGTTGCATTCACTGAACACGGGAAATTACAATCCTGACGTCCTCTCTAGTGTCATGATGAGGCTCAGGTAAAGCACGGTTAATGTATTATATTATTGACTCAATAATATAATGCATGACTTTGAGAGTAGGCAATCTAGGCATATTAACAACATTAATGAAACATACTTATCACGGCGACGGTGTACTGGGGGCCCTTAGTGACTGCGGGGCCCTAAGCGGCCGCTTATGTCGCTTAATGGGTCGGGCCGGCTCTGTGCATGCACAACGTAAATGTTTGACAGAGCAAGTGTGCTTTTCCCATTATGTCCCATGTTATTATTTATAGCATGATATGATACTTTGGGGAGCAGCTCTTGAACTTTGCTTTGACAAATATGTGCCCTTGTCGTACGATCTGTCAAACAGCTCCTAGACTGAATAGATGTATGTAATTATACAAGTTTTAAATATCTAATCTAGTAAAGTTACACTGGGCCAATAAGTAATTGGCTCGATCAGCCTAAATAAATGCTAAACCGAAAATGACACAGCAACTATGAGACAGTATCAGCTAGGTCAAGAGAATGACACATTCATAAGAAAACACTGGCGCCCCCCTATGGCATGAGACTGGTCTACCATAAAAACATTTCAAACTTTATTTTGTTTAAAGTTTTTAAACAGTTTTCTCTTGATGCTAACAAAATAGAACAAAGTCATGAATGGTCAATATTGACCCCCCATTCCTCTATCTTAAACCATGACTATTGCATCTTATTATAATTCATATTTTCAGAATAGTTTGCCGGAAGTAGGGAGACAAGCCCGCCTCCAAAACCAGTTTGTATCACACCTAGGCCTAAATGCTACCGTGAGTTATGTTCAATATAAGACTATAACATTGTATTTTCATTTCCATTTCATACAAACAAAATACTTCACATTGTTACTGACTATGATACATTTCCATAGGTGCTTTGTTCTACCTCCAACTGGTTTGCATCTTTTTTAGTATGGTTTTAAAATGGAGTCTTGAAATGAGACTGAGTCAGATGATACATCAGAATGAATATTGAAGTCTAAGGAGTGGCGGCTGGTGGAATTTTTTCTAGGTAGGGCTGTGCCACATGCAATCTATTTCAGCAAACATCCCAGTATGACTTACAGTAATGCAAAAAAAACAGGAGTTTTCAGTGTTAATTTATCAGTCTTAAATTGTAATGCCTCCATAAACAATTTAAGCATTTGAGACTGAGGACTATGTACAAAAACTTAAAAACAATGGCATTAGCAATACTTGCATGTGTATATGATGCATATATATCATATCATATCATATATATATATATATATATATATATGGAAATATGGAAATATATATATATATATATTAGGGCTGTCAAGTTAACGCGTTAATAACGCGTTAACGCAAAAAAAAAAATTAACGCCACTAATTATTTTAACGCGATTAACGCATGTGTATTTTTTGTCCTCGGCCGCCGCCGTAGTTTCAGAGCGCATCGAGTTTAAAATACCATCTACAAGCTGATGCTGACAGCCCCACTCCTGCCGCCCGCTTGTGGCAGACCACACTTCACGCTCTTCCGGCAGGCCCGGACTGGCCATCGGGAGGACCGGGAGGGTGTGTGTATGTGTGGCGCGAGCGAAGCACACCTTACGTGTTGTTGTTAGCATCTGGTGCTAGCTAGCTGAGCTAACGGATATAAGGAGCTGTTTCAATGAAAACAGAGGAGCGACATTTCGCCGACAACTGCGCCGAGCACTTGACTTTATGCAGGTAGCCAGACAGCACACTCAGCACGGATAGTGCGCGCAACACAGCTCATACACACAGGCATATATGCCTTGAGCTGCACATAGCTCCAACAACACACACACACACACACACACAACACACACACACACACACACACACACACACACACACACACACAACACACACGAATATTTGTAATGTTCAGAGGTTGTTGTGTTTAATATTCATGAGAATATTTGTCATTGTTCAAATGATAATAAACAAACATATAAAGCATAGTTGTCCACTCATATGTTGATAAGAGTATTAAAACTTGAAAAATATCCCTCTAAGGTACATTTAGAACAGATAAAAAATGTGCGATTAATTTGCGATTAATCGCGATTAAATATTTTAATCGACTGACAGCCCTAATATATATATATGATATATGTACATAGATAGATAGTTATACATTAGATTTTTGCTTTTGGTTTTGACTTCAGCTGCATCAAGGTAGTCAGATTACTACCGGAACTAAGAGTGTACTTCCTTCAAACTAAAAGCCTAAAAGTGTATTTGCTGTGAAATTCATCAATATTATTCATAGTATTAGATGAACAAATTGGATATTTACTTCACATACCAGAGTAGCAAAAACGATTATGGTATGATTATTATAATAATCCTACATAATAACTAGCGACATTAACATCTTCTTTATTGCCTGATAAACATTGAAACAAACGTGTGTTGCCACGCATTTGATAGAGAACTGAGTACAATTGTTATACTAGATTATAATGTTTTTTGCACGAGTTCGACTAGTGCTGTAGTTTGAAAAGATTTAACCGGAAGTGTACTAGTTATCTGACAGTGTCCTGCTTCCATCCAGTGTAAAAACACAGGTAAAAACGCTCTAGCTTTTTTAGCACAGTATTTGCTTTTTTCTATATAACTTCAAAAGGTGTATATTAGCGGTCACTATCAGCCGGAAATTGTGACTTGTGTATTCTCCATCCCACATTTGATATTTGCTAAAGTAAAGTTCACTTTCAGTGTTAACCATCAGGACTAGCCACCAACTAGCTTTTAGCACAAGATTAGCATTAGCTCGGCTAACAGTAGCAAACTTGTAAGCTTACATTAGAATTGTGATGTACCCTTTCCCCGAATACCTGGTGTTAAGAGCGATTTACGCTTGACCCTCATACTTCATATGTTAACGGCAGTTTATTTCAGGTGATAAACAGTGAAAGGCTTGCTGTGCGTAGAGCTAACGAACGATAGCTAGCTATCATAACCAGGAACCGTACGCGCTGACCGATGGGACGTCACACCAGACTCCCTTTAACATCTCTCAGGTTTACGGCTGCATCGCTGATCTTATACAGCACATTGCTTTAACTCTATCAATTTAAACGCATTTATGTAGAATGGTGTATCTTTCAATTCGGCTCAGCAATTAAACTCGATTTTATCTGTATTCAAAAGTTTTTGGAGTTGGTTAACGTTATTTTACGTTACTTCCCGGGATCATCGGAACCCCCGTTAAGTATCCCTTTGTTAAATATTTGACGTTATACACTTGAGTTGACTCATCGTTAAAGTATAAGAAGGCCGTAATCCCAAAGTTGTATGTCTATTAAGTGAACAACACGTTTAGTAGCTGGTACAGCAGTCGGTCTCAGGTGCTCTGTGTGGGTCACTTTGTTCTGATGTCAAACGACCCGTTGTGTATCGTATCTGTTCAGCTTACAGTCCATTATACCTGTGGCGTTCACTAATATCACTGCTTATCAGATATGTTGGGGTTTGACAGGCTCGTGAAGTTTAACATTGTTCATTTTATCAGTTTACACAGTGCACACCAACACACGACAAAGTGAATTAGCTACATTGACTGTGTTTTGTGTCCTCGAGGTTATGTAGTTTATTATTTCATGTCTAGAGATAATCACCTGTTCTGAGCCTTTAATGTGACAGTTTGTGCGACGCTGCTTAGCTAAAGCTAAGCTAACGTGAACAGTAAACGTTGTATTGTGTAGGCATGAGATGACTCAGTCGGCGTGGTAGTAGGGGGCATCTGCATCATTTATATTATGTGTGGTTGGGAAGACCCGCTTATACCTTACAATCAAAGGGTAATTCACATTACTGCCATGAAATGTAACAGGCTGAGGGATGGCCGGGTGACAGAGGCAGCCTGCTCCACACACACGTGGTTGACATTTGGCTGTCTGGTCTTATTGCATCGCTAAACTAAATGTCCACTGTTGCATGGAACCAGCCACACTACAAAAGCTAAGTCCAGTTTCAGAGAGGATGTACTTTTGACATTGTATCGCTGTCATGTGCTGTTTCCCTACCCCTGATGCTGTACGCCTGTAGAACATCAGCTCAGATTTGATCCCATGTAGCCATGTAGCTTAGTCTGGGACAGTTAGTCTGTCCATTGTCCCTGTCAACAAACTGGGTAATACAATTAATAACAACACTGCGTTGTCTGTATTGGGAAAGTACTCAAGATGATCAGATTCAGCTGCGAGAATGCTGTTATTAAGTTTTCAATGTAACATTCTGGTAATATTAACAATTAAAATAAATACATAGTTCATCATTGTCTGTGGTTAAACCCTAGCAATCGAGTCATGTGCCTTTTCTGTGATGTTTAGCCTTCACACTCAGTAACAGTTGGACAGTGTCAGTGTGGCGGTATGGAGATATGGCTGTACAAATAGACCACACACACACCGAGTGTATTCAAAGATAGAAGTTGTTCATCTCTTCTTCTACAAAATATAATATACATAACAAACGTAATATTTTGTTAATTTTGTATTTATATTATTATCAATTATATTGTATACTTTGTCTTGTATTTGATGCTTTGGCAACACTTACCTGAAACTACCATAAAGCCCCTTTTGAATTGAGTAATGGAAGGAGATTTTTGAGTAAATTAAAATGAAATGAGCCAGCCCTAATCCTCACCCACCTGATTTATGGCCATACTGTAATGAAATTCATATTTTCAAACAATTTTGCTTTACCTTAAATGTCTAGCTTGTCATCAGGACTAATGGAGGCAACGGGAGTTTGTGAGCTCGATGTTGCGACCAGAAGAATAGTGGGGGGCAGCGACTCTCCCCCCGACCTGGACAGCCCATGTCAGGTAAGCACTATTACCCTCTGCTTTATGAGAGGTCTTCTTCTCTCTTGATGATATTGTCAAGTAACAGTTTTGTTTGAAATATCCTGTAAATTGCACTGGATTAGATACAACTGTTTCTCTAAAAATAGCGTGTCATTTTTTAGCACCGTTGCTCTTTCAATACATGGGTTTGGCTATTAACTCCAAAACCATCCTTTTTTACAAATCTTTTTTTCTCTTCATCAAAAACCTACAGTAAAGTATTTAAACATTTAAAATACAAATTTGTAATCATTTAAAAAAAAAGAAAAAATCAGATATATCAATACTTGTCAATACTCCATTCAACCAACAGAATGTTACTGAGGAGGTGATTGGTCGTCCACCAATATTTAGGTCGGTGGTTTGATCCCCAGCCCCTTCAGGCGACATGTCGATTAATCCTTGATCGAGATACTTAATGCCACATTGCTCAGAGGGCAGGGAATGTGTGTGAATGTGAGTCTCTCTGAGGAGGTGCACCTTGTTTGGCAGCCCCTGCCTTTGTATAACTGTGTGAATGCTGACCTGTATATGTAAAACTGCTTTGAGGGGTAGCAAAGCCTTGAAAGTGCAGCCTATTACCAGATAGAGGTGACAAAAGTCATCTGTTGAAACCTCAGACCTCATTGGAAACTTAAGGGTGAAAGAATTAAGCACAGTTGTGTAATGAGCAACATTCCCCCCCTGAGCAGCAGGTGCTTTGAGGCAGCATTAAGCAAGGCACTGAACCCCGGCTTCTTTCCAGTAAAGCTGCCTGGTGGAAGAGCTATATATTGCTGCTTCGTGATCATTTGTGTGTGTGTGTGTGATCAGGAGGAGGTGGCGGCAGCGTTTGGTTTGGGCCTGTGCTGTGCTGAGGAGGAGAGGGGGGAGACTCCAGGCAGAGAGGACAGCCCCAGCGACCTGGGAGAGACGGAGCTGGACCCCGGGGGAGACCTGAAGAGCAGGGAGGACAAGGCGTTTGGTAGGAACACTGCAGTGTGTCGGACACTTTGAGAAATGCACCTTGATTCACACATGTGATGGCAAGTAGATTATAGAGAGTGGACTTTATGTCTTAGTATAAAAGTATATATATATGATTTTTTTATTTCTTTCTTTAAATATATAAAATTCACATCCAACATACTAAATCAGACCCACAATACTCACTGGAATTAATGTATCACTTAATAATACAAAGCTTAGTTAAATACTCATTTCTGATTGGTAAATGTGGACTTTCAGAAGTCTGCTCTTCATCAAAAGCAGACTGTTACTGAGGAAGCTCTAAGCAAAGGGACCAAGTGCAGTCATATCAATCCACAGAAAGAAGTCCAGTCAATTTAACCAAACGCTTATAGTTTTCCTCCAAACTAAATTAATTCATTTGAATATTCATCTCTATATTTGTGGACGGCATAATCTTTGCATTCATGAGGGCTAAAGTGTCCCCAGTAAAGAAGAGAGAAGAAGACGACAGACTAAAGGCTGTGGCAAAGACAGAAAAGAACATGTGAACAGACTTGGACAGTCGCCGCAGTTTCAGCCGTTGCTCTACAGTCGAAAGGACCTTTATTTCCAAGCGTAAGCAAAACAATCATTTGTATTGCTTACGCTTGGTTATTTGTATTGTGGACATGGACATGTTGTTGGTTTATATAGTTGTCTAGTAAACTGGATGAAACTCAGTGGGCTGGTCATTAATGGGAAGAGAACCCCTTCGGGCCGATTGAAACCCCCCCCCCCCCCCCTTGGCGTTGGGATCCTAGTCCCCCCGTCAGGGTTACTGCGCATTAGTGACCGGCTCGCTGCATTATCCCTTACACAGCCATTACTTTAACACTCAGACAATATATCTACAATACAAGAATATACTACTATATTATTAAAATATTTGTAGAAAGTTTGGAGGAAAACATATTGCTGCAGTCTTTACATAAACTATTATTATTATATGTATTCATCATATGAAACCTATTCTCTATTTATTGCTGATTTAGTAGTTGTCTTACAGCATCCAGAAATGTAAGCGGGCATTCGGACAGTGTCCAGACCTTTTCACTCTTTGATGTTGTAGCGTTATGCTTATATTGTGATGGAATGACATGTCTCCAGGGCTGCGCAGGCTAAACCTCCGGTTCAGTCAGCTTGTGTGATTCTGTTTGTGGTTTGCGTTGCAGGGAAGGAGGTTGTTCTTCTGATGCAGGCCCTGAATTCCCTCGCCACTCCTGAGGAGAAACTAGCTGCTTTGTGCAAGAAGTATGCAGACCTGGTGAGCTGAAGATGTGCATTTGAACAATTAGAATTAAATTCTAAATAGGGATATCTAATATTCCAACAAGCTCAGGTTCTTTAGAGAACGAGGGCATCATTGTCCTGTACTAAGAATGAAAGACCGCTGTGCAGCTTTTAAATTGACATATTTCTCTGGTGATAAAGTTTTGTTGAAGTTCACTAGCCTTCTTTGTTTACCACTAATGAGACACAACGGTTAAACAATGAAATAGTTCAGTGTATTTATTTCCTTAGTACATAACAATTCTTTCATCAAGAAGGTTTTTTTTAGGGGTTTAAATGAGCTTTTTGGGTTTCTACTAGAAAATATTTAAAAGAAAAACACCAAAAAGATAATGTTGGTACTGTGTGTATTTATTAGGGCTGTCAAGTTAACGCGTTAATAACGCGTTAACGCAAAAAAAAATTAACGCCACTAATTATTTTAACGCGATTAACGCATGTGTATTTTTTGTCCTCGGCCGCCGTAGTTTCAGAGCGCATCGAGTTTAAAATACCATCTACAAGCTGATGCTGACAGCCCCGCTCCTGCTGCCCGCTTTTGGCAGACCACACTTCCACGCTCACCGGCAGGCCCGGACTGGCCATCGGGAGGACCGGGAGGGAGTGTGTATGTGTGGCGCGAGCGAAGCACACCTTACGTGTTGTTGTTAGCATCTGGTGCTAGCTAGCTGAGCTACAGAGCAATGAAAACAGAGGAGCGACATTTCGCCGACAACTGCGCCGAGCACTTGACTTTATGCAGGTAGCCAGACAGCACACTCAGCACGGATAGTGCACGCAACACAGCTCATACACACAGGCATATATGCCTTGAGCTGCACATAGCTCCAACACACACACACACACACACACACACACACACACACACACACACACACACACACACACACACACACACACACACACACACACACACACACACACACACACACACACACAGTATTGTATTATTGTATTAGAGAGGTTTCCAGGTTGAATTGAGGAGAATATTTGTAATGTTCAGAGGTTGTTGTGTTTAATATTCATGAGAATATTTGTCATTGTTCAAATGATAATAAACAAACATATAAAGCATAGTTGTCCACTCATATGTTGATAAGAGTATTAAAAACTTGAAAAATATCCCTCTAAGGTACATTTAGAACAGATAAAAAATGTGCGATTAATTTGTGATTAATCGCGATTAAATATGGACAATCATGCGATTAAATATTTTAATCGACTGACAGCCCTAGTATTTATGTGTTCACCTCAGTCTGGGGAAGCCCGTTGTGCTCTTATTATTTGCAGAGCAATTCCCTGCTCTTTAGCAAAGGTAGTTTCATTCTTTTCTAATCGGCCTGACATAGGAAGGTGGGCAAATGTGAATTGCTTGATGATGAACTGACTGGGGGTTGTATTTCACCTTTGATGGGTTGGTAGGTACTCCTGATAACCACATGTATAAGCACAGAATATGAGAGTTTTTTTATAATGATGCAATCCTTTTGATGTTTCCTGTGTTCAGTTGGAGGAGAGCCGCTGCCAGCAGAAGCGTCTTAAAGCCGTGCAGAAGAAACAGTCTCAGATAGTGAAGGAGAAGATCCACCTGCAGGGGGAGCACAGCAAGGCCATCCTGGCCCGCAGCAAGCTGGAGAGCCTCTGCAGGGAGCTGCAGAGACACAACAAGACCCTGAAGGTAGCCTGCTGCACCGACTCATCTGCCGCCATCTTCTGTCTACACTGCGCTCCAATAGGCTAGCATAGTGATGCGGTTCATTGAAGTAGTGAAGGAGAATTCAACAGGACTTTGGAAAAGACAACCAAAGTGCTGGGCAGATCCGACTGTACTGACACTGGGGGATGTAGTTATGAAGGTCTCGCAGATGGTACTGATGTTGAAACTACAATATATTCATAAATGGACTACTGAAAGCACATTTGGATACTTTGTCCCGTGTGTTCTTATCGCCGTGTCTCATGCAGGCCTTAAAAACATGGACAGCAATAAATATATATTATTACATTAGGTTAAAGGTTGGAATTTAGGTTCCAAGTTATGCAATACATCTACTACTGTTCATATCAGTACCATTCAAACATGGTAAATAAAACAAATAGCTTCAGGAACCCCACCCAACTCAGTAAACGCTGTCATCATTTTACAGTTATTATCGTAACGTTCATTGTTCACCTCTTGCTTAAAGGTAGAGAATAACCATTTCTAAAAAAGATTTGCCTAATAACTCATAGCCTTTAAATGTCAGGAAGGTGAAGATGTGTTTATCCAGGCTGCAGCCAAACGGAGTTTACTGCTCACATGCAGGATGAAGCACTGCAGGAATGTGGTGTTTGTTTAATGGTATGGATGATCCTTGAATGTTGGTGCTCAAAGTGGCTTTACAGAGATAGTGAAAAGAAAAGATATCTCATCCGAATCAGAATACCATGTCCCTTCTCTCTCTGTCCCCTCCTGTCCCCTGCAGGACGAGAACGCCCAGCGGTCCAGGGAGTATGAGGAGCAGAGGAAGGAGGCCATGCTGCACTTCCAGATGACGCTGAGCGACATCGAGGTGCAGATGGAGCAGCACAGCTCCCACAACACCAAGCTGAGGCAGGAGAACATGGATTTGGCTGAGAAGCTGAAAAAGCTCATCGAGCAGTATGAGCTCAGAGAAGAGGTACGAGTGCTACTCCTGCTGCCTCTAAAACAGCTCAGTCCCTATGTGTGAGCCTCTTCTCACTTTGACTTGGTTTGCATGTGGAATTGAATTCAAAGCAGAAATTCAAATATGCTTAAACATGTCGGCCATTACACTAACCCACAGGGCAAGAAGACAATGCAATGCTGGCAAAAATAGAAACAAAAGTAAATCAGGAGCACATATTCTTAAGAGTTAGGGCTGGGGTTTGTGTATCTGTATAAAATGTAGCTAAAAGATTAAAAAAAACACTGGTTACATTTTGAATAATTCCCCCCCGACAGCACATAGACAAGGTGTTCAAGCACAAGGAGCTGCAGCAGCAGCTGATGGACGCCAAGCTGCAGAGAATCACCGAGATGATGAGAGAGGTGGAGGACAAGCAGCAGAGGGAGAGAGACTTTGTGAGTTCTTCTGTTTCTCTTCTCTTTCTGAGGCTGCACCCTTCATAGCAAATAAATAGCAGGTAGCTTCAATCACTGGTGTCACAAAGTATTTAGGATCATGAACTGACTGTGCTGTGATGCTTCAGCTGCTGCAAGACGCCACAGAGTCCAGACGCAAGTGTGAGCTGATGAAGGAGCAGGAAACACAGCTCAAACAACAGGTACACACACACACACACACACACACCACGTACAGGGGGAATATCCTGCCGTGGCCTGGTGTGAACCCAGCTCAAAGTCTGACATGTGTCCTTTCTGCTCTCCTCTCTTAGCTCTCCCTGTACATGGACAAGTTTGAGGAGTTTCAGAGCACTCTGGCTAAAAGCAACGAAGTCTTCACCACCTTCAGACAAGAGATGGAGAAGGTGACACACTTCCTGTTGGCTAGAGTTTGGGTCCCGCTGCTTTCACAGCTGTTAACTGTATGGCTTTCTCTCCAGATGACCAAGAAGATCAAGAAACTGGAGAAGGAGACGACACAGTGGAGGACCAAATGGGAGAGCAACAACCAGGCTCTGCTGCAGATGGCTGAGGAGGTGACTCATCACGCTCTCTGATTTGGGTTGAGTGGGAGTAGTAAGGACAACGAAAAGATACAAATGATTGGAAAATCTCTCAGGCTGTGTGAGAGTGAGATTAGAGGCTGCAGATCAGTCACATCTCTGAGTTAGGGACAGAACCAGGGTCAGGACAGGGTTAGCCTAGCCTAGCATAAAGCAGCAGGGGGAACCGGCTAGCCTGGCTCTGTCCAAACAAGTGTTACAACACTTCTCAAGCTCACTGATTATCATGTTCTATCCAATACGTCTAATCTTTTACACACACACATGAAAGATGATTGTATTAGGGAGAGTGATGTGCTAGAACACACACACATCTTCTTAGCCAACGGTCAAAAAGAGAGCCAACAAGAATATTTCTAAATTCTTCTTCAAATACAGAAATTACTCTTTTTTTTTTTTTTTTTTTTTCTTTTTTTTTTTCAATGAGTCCAGAATCATTGCTTTTAATTAAACTCATTTATTGGGTTCAGTCATATTCTCCCTTTTTCTCTAGAGAAGGGAATTGTGTGTATAATGGAAATATGAACCTTTCTCGATGTCCTCTTTTCCAAATTAAAATAAAATAAACTATCTGAACACGTGAGGCTCCACCTGCTAGCTTCTACTCCTCTAACGCAGGGGTTCCCAACCTTTATTGTGCCAAGGACCGGCAGATACATTAAAAAAAAATCGCGGACCGGTTGTCAATTTTAACTGATTTTAATATTTACTCACCAGCAGCAGGTAGCAACAGAGGCTACTTGTATGTAACAGCCTGAACAAATACTAGAACAATATGCATCCAAAACATATTAACAAAGTTTAAAAAAGAACCGGTGTTGTTTTTTGGTTTTTCGGAAAACCAAAAAACCAACGTTATTCAGTTTTTAAACCAACACAGATAAATCAACGTTTTGGTTTTGTTTATATGATTTACGGATAATCCAGTGAATGCTGGGAAAACGAGGAGAAGCCGCATTATGAACACTGGCATTTGTTTTCAGAAGATATTATGATAGTGTCGTTCGTTCCGGTGCACTCCGACAGCATTTAGCACTACATCGAGATTAAGATTAAACTAATTTATTTTGGGAACAGCCGCATATATGGAGTTAGCCATATGTGTGTAAATTACTGTTCATAAACATTTGGAAACAAATGCCGGTGTCGGACAGACACAAACACACCGAACACAGAGCTGAGCAGAGCACATACACACACACATCATGCGCCTTGGTGACTGACTGGACATCTCCTTCATAAAACTAATAAAAGGGGGAGTAATCGGGCAGTTCGATGTGTGTCGAGGTGTGTGTAGAGATGTGTGTAGAGGTGTGTGTGGTTAACACGTAGCAGCCTGCAGTCACTCTTAAGCTGTTCTGATGAAGTTAAACACAGCGAAGGCGGTGCGTAAAAAGGCACAGCTCTTTACCCGCTGGTGCTGCACTTCTCAGAGGCGGAGTATACGTCCCGCTGCCTCCTGATGCTGCAGCCATTTCATGAAGTGAAGGAGGTTTTCCTTCTATAAAACAGCTGCGGGCAGCAGATACCGTGAGAGTCCCGGACATGAATTCATAGATCAAGGCAGACTGGTTTACTCTCCTGTTTTGCCAATCCGGTGCTTAAACAAATAGCTCCTCTAGTCCGAGTTTGAAATATATCTCAAATAATGTATGCACCACCATTTCCCCACATAAACATAACAGTCTGCAATCAAACGGTTGTCTCCTGTGCGCTTCTCTTCCTACTTGGCGCACCGGTAACATTCTCGTGCGCACAAGAGGCTGAGACCTTAGGCTGAGCCGCCGAATCCCTCGGAACATCATAAAAGCCATTTTCAACGGTTTTCTGGTGAAAGATTAACTATAGCTACTGGATGAAATAATATGACTGGTATAGGTGCGAAAATTAAACACTTTTTGAAAAAATATTATGATAAAATATTTTTATATATTTATAATTCTGCAAATATTACGATAAACTCACAGCTATTTCGCGGCCCGGCAGTAACACCTCCGCGGACCGGTACCGGGTTGGGAACCCCTGCTCTAGATAGAGAGCTGTGACACCGCCTCACACTAAGCTTCCCTCACGTGTTGAAGCTGCTGTTTGATGCCCTGTGTGAGGAACATGCTGTTGTGTTGTAGAAAACTCTGCGTGACGGACACTTCAAAGCGCTGCAGGGGAAGCTGGAGCTGCTGGAGCGGCTGTGCAGAGCGCTGCAGAAGGAGAGGAACGACCTGAACAACCAGCTGAGCCTCCTGCAGGAGACCCCCGAGACCACGGACACCACGCAGACCCCCGAGACTACGGAGACCACGGAGACCACACAGGCCACACAGGCCCCCGAGACCACACAGGCCCCCGAAGCCCTGCCACGGGAGCCCTTCGTCAGTAAGGAGGCTGAGGCACAGGGAGAGGGGCTGGAGACAGAGGGCATCCACGAGGCTCCCAGATCTCCTGAACTGGACCCCACACTGGCTGCTACTCACACAACCACTGCTGCTACTCCACCCAGCAGCCAGCCTGCACAGCCCCCCTCCCCCCAGGACTGACCCGCCTTTAGGCCTGTGTGTAGGTGAGGGGGGGTGGGCCTGTAAAGCAAATTCATGGGGTTAGATTTATTTTTCTTTATTTTATTTGTATTCTAGACTAGCCCCTCCTGGTTTCCCCATATATATTTAGTTGGCTAGTTAAATGATTGTAAAACAAAGGTATTGTCTTAAGGGAAGATGTAGGCTACCATGGGGGATGTGGGGAACTCAAATGAATGATACAGAAGAAGACACATATGTTGTTGTTGGTGTGATGCCCACTGAAGAAACAACTAAAGCAATATAAAGAGATTTCTTTGGAACAAACTCATTTGATTTCCATATGGTCAGCTCAGCAGGCTGTACAGAAAAGAGCCATCATATGTCCTCTGGCAGGTCCAATACAGTTGATCATGTGGAAGATCACGTTTGATCCCCTACCAAGGCAATACATCACAATGCAGCTCTGTGCTGCAACAGGTCCACAACCTTCAGTACACTTATCTGATAACCCTCTTACCTGCTTCATCTCCATTTACATTGGACATTTTATAGAATGATCTAGGAATGTGGCCATTGTTTCCTCTTCATGATATCATACACCTCCAGTTGAATGTGTGGTTTCCTAACCATCACTTTATACAGTGTCTCCTTTTGGAGTTGTAGAGTCAGTGAGAATCAGGTTTTTGCTCCTCACCATAATCTTCCTTAAACAAGAACAAAGGCATAATTGGGTAGCCCATGTGTCACCGTGTAGTTTGCGCTGAGATGTTGCCTTGCAGTCCCATTGATTATTATCTGACCCCCCCCACCCCTACTTCCCCCCCCATTGTGTGTATTTAAAAACCAAGGTGGTTTGTGTAATTAGTGTTAGGGTTTAGGATGGCTGTAGTCTGAGGGAAGACTTTTCAGTCCAATTGAATCATTTGCTCTTGCTTTGGCGTTGCCGCAGACTGACTCGGGTAATGTCAGAATCTACCTCTGCAGGTGAGGCTGAAGGGGAGGACGAGTCACCACAACTTGAGAGCTCTATTTCTGTTGGGGGAGAAAGAGATTTGCCCACACCCACTCTTTGATTGTACAATGTTCTTAAAGTCCGGTCTTGATTTTCAATAAACATTTTGTAGAATTTGCAAAAACGTTGGATTTATTTCCTGAATAATTATTTCCTGGATGTAAGAGTTAGGTACATGGGAGTTTCCATATGCATTTACCGCCATGCTAAAGGTTTCATTTCAAAACATTGTTTAAAGGTGGGGTAGGTCATTTTGGAGAAACCAGCTCGAGTGCGCTAGAAACGGGAAAAAATCTGCCTCTTCCTTCAGACTTCCTTATAGAGCCCCTCCTCCAACACACACGAACAATGAGGGCACGAGATAAGTTTGTGCACAGATGGTAGGCCATCCAGTTATTTTAGCCGGGCCGGCTAAAATGATTGGTCGTGCTTTTTACAGTACTACGGCTAACACAGATGACATTTAATGTATTTATTGTCAAAGCATTATTCATTGCTATCGGGATGTTAAGAGCATTCCATGGAATATAACAAAGTGTTTCTGAAATAAATGACATACCCCACCTTTAAAGAAACTCAAAATTCACATAAATGAGAAACTTCTCTTTGAAAAGTTATAAAAGTTTTATTGCAATTTGTGGTGCGTGAAACAAGAACAATTTCACATTATGTAACAACAAAAAGAGGAAAAGCAAAAATATGTCCGTTTCCCTCAAGTGCACTAATTTAGTCCCACAGCCTTCACCCTACCAAACTGAAGAGCTTATGTACCCTGTGAAGAGGAACACAGCTTCCTCTTCACAGAACAGCCACTTCAAAAGATGATGGAAGAGGAATAACAGCTATACGTGGGAAAATAAGTTTGAAACGGAAGCTCCCGTGGACATGACCATGGTTGGCTTTTAACGGTTTTCACTCTGGACAGATGTGGATCCGTTTCAGTTCAGTCTTCTACTGTCCAGGTTTCAGAACATATGTGTGTCTTAAGGGCAGCCTACTAGCTAGAGATGTTCTTGATTTCATGTTGTTTTTGCACGAGCCCAATAAGATGATCCGACCTTAACAACAGGGGCTTCTGCTCCCTGAACTCTGGAGGCACTAGCACCTCCACAGGCAGAACCTCCTCCTGCTGTTCTGCTGCAGAGCCACAGTCCAGGCTGTCTCTAACTCTATACTTTGTTCATTTAGAACGGAGGGAGTACACTTTTCATTTTTCACTTGAAGTCAGAGAGGGAAACGACGGGCTGGGTGTGGAGCTCAGGGAATGGGGGGGGGGGGGCTTGATGGAGGGAGACCAATGCCAAGCTGGGTTATGATCCCTGAGCCTCCAGCTCTGAAGCGGGGGTGTTGTCTGGCTCCTCATCATTGTAGATGTTCTCGGCCTGGAGAAGAGAGGGAGGACACACACACACACACACACACACATTAATGTACAAACTGTAGAGAGACAAAGCACACATCTGACAGTGTTAAATATCAGAACCCCTGATCCTACTTTGGAGGGCTACAGTGATAGTTAGCATCATCACCACAAAAAGCAATGAGAGGTTGGAGTATTGCAGAATGTAATCTCTGTGGCAAACAAACTGTGTTGTTGCTTTTAACACAAAAGCTTCAACATCCATCAGTGGGGTATTTATCAGACTGGAGTACTCGAGTCCTCGAACTCGCGCACTGATGGACCCGGACTTGGACATTAACGACCCGACAGAGATATAGTCTCGAGCAGCTGTGAGGCGAGTTCCCATACCACGCGCCCCCATTATTCTCAGTCTAAAGATGTGCAGAGAAACACCCCCGACTCGGACTCTCCTTGGGTGATTCAGACTTGGACTCGAGCAAAGGTAGTGATGACTTGGACTCGAGCAAAGGTAGTGATGACTTGGACTCGAGCAAAGGTAGTGATGACTTGGACTCGAGCAAAGGTAGTGATGACTTGGACTCGAGCACAGGGAATGATGACTGACTCGACTACAACACTAGGGTTAACTAACCCTCTAACCCTAAAATATCTCATCAGGAAGCTGAAGTGTGAACGGCGGCTGTATTCACCATCTGCCAGACTTGCATGATGTTGTCCTCGGACACGGAGCAGATCACCCAGGGTTCATTGGGGTTCCAGGTGAAGTCAGAGATCTTGGCTGTGTGGCCCCCGTGGATGAACTGATGGAGGAAATTAGAGCCAGAGGTAAACAGGCAAGCGGGACTGTGACCTGTCCTAACCCAACACACCTCTCATGTGACCATGAGAATATAAAAGACATTATCATCGTCACCTCACACCCTGCTGTGTGTGTGTTCAAAAGTCATTTCAGAGCACCACTCACCAACAGCTCGGGGGGGCCGTCCTCAGCATCTTCTGCCGACTGCTCCTCTCCGATTTTACTAGATGAAAGAAAAGTGATCAAAAGGTGTAATTGACACAACAGCATGTGCTGCATGTAAAGTCTGCCTTTTCCTCTTTAACACCAGAGCGTTGGTCACCATTATTAAAAGCAATTGGTTGTTGTATTAAGCTATTTAGCATATCATTACAGCCATATGTTACCAACTTGAATACCCTGCAGTATTATCCCTTAGCGATTGAATATACGCTCGATGTTATCAAATGTTTCGTCTGGGGATTTTCAGTTTGGCAAATGTAAAGTAAACATTAGCATCAACATGCATGTGATGTTAGGAAACAGACAAGTCAGAATTAGAGGTAGACTGATACATGATCAACCAGCTGGGGGGCTCAAATAGTGATATTGCTAAATTGAATACAGAAATGCCCGCTTCATTTTGAGTGTCCATTAGAGACTTCAGAGCATTGACTGTTTTGTTCCTGTGTTAAATGCCCTACTCATGGTCAGAGAAGCTGTCAGGGAAAGAATGAAGCATTCATGATCAGCATGTTGCTCTGCCAGAGAGCAGAGTGCTTATTGAATATTTAGTTAAAACTGTCCAAAACAATTGCATGTACATTTAAAGAAATGGATTATGGGTATGTTTTTACCTGAGGTCCCAGACGTTGAGGCGTCGGTCGGTGCCACTGGAGGCCAGGATGGTCTCGTTGTGAGGAGACCATTGTACCTGAGGGGGGGGGGGACACTCAGTCACTGCACCTCAGTGTGATGGAGGTGTACATGCATGGACACTTTGTAAAAACTCACAAAACCGTTTCAAACTAGTAACACTTTGGGATTGTGCTCCATAAATGAAAACATTCACACAAACAGGGGTCTGCTTGTTTGGGGTCAGAAGCACCGTTTCTGTGGACTGCCACAGACCTCTGTCCATCAGACGGATATCAGACTGTTCTGGTATCAAAAGATAAAGCCTAACGGTAAATGTACAGCGCGCTTGTGTCAACAAAGTGAAGTACATTATATCTTAGTGTTAGACTTCATCTCAGCACCATGGCCTGGTTCAAAGCAGGAACAGGAGCCGGTAGTTCTCGTGCTCACTAGCTGGCAGGATTCATTTACATTGTTACCCACAGCACAAGCTAGCTGGAGCACGTTTTCAATCCCTGACTTTGGTCTGTTGTGATTACATACATTTAGACTATGACTATTGAATTGACCGCTTATCATAACCTAACCTAGTTGTGTTTTCTATATAATGACACCTTCTTTCTAACTGCAGGCTCACATTTCTAACAAATAAAAAACATTTTGAAGCTTTGACGTTCTTACCTGGAAGATTTCATCTTTGTGGGACTCAAAGGAGTGGAGCTTCAGTTTGAGGTTCCTCAGATCCCACAGTGCCACAGTCTGAAATACAAAACAAGCTGAGCATGAAATATTCAGTCACATTTATTCAAACTTATGAGTTCAGAGTCCATTGTTCCTCCTGTACCTTATCAGCGGAGCCAGTAGCCAGGATGAACTCGCTGTAGGGGTTGAAGCTCAGACAGTTGAACCTCAGCAGTGTGGAGCGTCCACTGCCGTGGCTGGCTTTGGACGTGGTGCTGGACCGAGTGTCCCATCTGGTGCAGGGTTCAAGAGTCAGAGTCAGCAGCACAAAACTATGAAATCAAACTTTGAGCAGAACCAGACCACAAACTGCACATTCAGCATTCACACTTACATCATGAGTTTCTTGGTCGTCAGCCACAGAGCCAAACAGGGATTCGTGGAGCAGGTGCCAGGAGACGTCCTCCACCACGGCTGTTGTGGGACCGGTGAAGATGGTCTTGGCGTCCACGATCTTCCCTTCCTTTGTGCCCGCCCCTATGTCCCAGAGACAGATGGTCTGCAGAGTAACAAATGGGGGAGCACAGTCAGTTCTTTTACCCCTTGTTATCACTGTTCATACCAACATCCGTCATCGCAACTTACACTAAAAGAGTGGGATGATAGAATCCCTGCTAAACAAGTTTGTTTTCAATTCTGATAGTCTCATATTCCCAGTGGCATGGCTGCGTTTTCAACAGGCTGGCAATTATAGCAGGCAATGTCAACTTGTAACAACTGATCCAGATTGGTGGGAGACGTGTTCGCTGAGTGAGTTCAGACCAGATTTCAGCAGAATTCAGAGAGTTGTAAACGGTACAGCTTCATTTCAAACGTTTGACTTTCATTCAGCCCCTCACTGTGTCTAACCTTACAGCACTAAACAGGTGTACTGGTATCCTGGTGAGCTGGTCTGACGGCACTGTGTCACTATTAGTAACACTGCTTTTATCTTCCTCTTCAAAAAGTGCCATCTGAACAATATAGCTAGTATTGGTAAATCAACGACATTTCAACAAATGAACTAACATGATGAACAGAATGTGAAGGGGCTACAGTTTTGATGATATATGAAAGATGTCCATGTTTTCTGAGGCAGAGATCACTCCTGAAATGAGCATGCGTAGCAGGTAGCAGCAGCTCGTCCTGTGACACCACGTGTTCCTCTAGAAGCGACAGTGAGTCACAGTAGAGCACATTTCTCTCTGTCCAGAAGATGAAGAATCAGAATCAAGTTAATTGCCAGGTATGTTTACACATACAAGGAAAATAGGTATTTTTAAGAAACTATTTAGGTATTTACACACAAATGTAAATATACAAAGAACCTTAAAAGCAAAAAGAAAACTATAACACTTAGGGCAATGAATATATGGCAACATGTGGCAAACTACAGTGAATGATGTGAA